GTGGGCGAGATAATCACCAAGAAGCGAAGATGCTTCAAGCAAGGCGGACGGCACCCATGTGTCATCTTCACTGGTACGGTCGGTCCGGCGGACTTATAAGTCCACGTGGCGGCCTGTGGCGTCGAGTCGAACACGATGCGCCAAAATTTTTAAAGGGTCGAGAGAGTTGGTTCCGGGACAGCGCGAGCTGTCGAGGCGGCATTCTGGCGAGCAATGTCCGTCATGGCCGGTACAAATTTGCGAAGTAAGGGCATGTGTCCTTGTCGGGCTGAGCTCGGGTAACCTGTTTCGTTAATTTCGCCATGCTGGGTAGCGACTTTCGCTAAAACAGTTAGAAAAGATGGAACCAAACATGGCCACTGGACTAGAGTCGAGATTCGGTTCAAACGTGCGCCTGCACATTCATGCATACGTGTGTCCTTCTGCCCACGTTTGCAGCTGCAACAAAACTAACGAAATCAACGAATGCCATTGTGTGCGCTATCGAAACATACGCAGGATTCACGGTGCGCCATCAAATCAGACGTGGCGCACGGTCAAGATGGCAAACTGTCAAAACATATGAATGTTGTTATCTATGCTATATTGGGGCTAGCCTTAGGGGGTACAGAAATTCTCTCGACACTCTAGTTTTGTACCCCAACCTTGACCTAACCTCCTATGCTTTTCATGCCTAAGTTCTAAGATGGTACCTAGAGCAGTAGGTCTTTAGGACCCCGGTTCTAAGATCAGGGCCCACCGGTTACCGCATGATCTCACCTACGACCTTGCCTGCCTGTCTGCCTTGCATGCTGCCCGCGCGCGCCTCAGCTGCGAGCGCGCGTACTATTTTTTCTTTAGTGCGCGCCACATAAGCAGCCCGCGTAGCCCGTTTTTGGCCCCGCGCGCCACGTCAGCAGCCCGCGCAGCCCGCTTAGGCCCCGCTCGCCGCGTCCGCCGCCCGCGCACCCCGCTGCTGCCCTGCGCGTCGCGTCTGTCGCTCGTCCGCAGCCCGCTGCCGCCCCGCGCGTCGCCTCTGCCGCCCGCGCAGTCTGCTGCTGCCCCGCGCGCTACGTCTGCCGCCCGCGCAGCCCGCTCCTGCCCCGGCAGCCGCCTAAGGAGCGCGCGCGGCGCGCTGCTGTCTCGCGCGCCGCTGTAGGAGCTCGTGAGCGGCCCCCTGCTGCCTCGCGAGCCGCCTCAGGAGCCCGCACTCGGCCCACTGCTGCCTTGCGCGCCGCCCCTGCAGCTTGTGCGCCGCCACTGCAGCCTGCTGCCTACTGCCTTTGCTTCTGTCTGCTGCCTGCTGCCTTTGCCTTTGCCTGCTGCCTACTGCTTGCTCCCTACTGCCTTTGCCTACTGGCTTTACCTACGGTGCGATTATGGCGACACTTAATGTTCTCGCGTTTCAGTCTAACTGTCGCCCGATAGAGTTCGCTGTGTGGCTTGACGATCTCCAACTGTTCCTTCTGACCGATGCCAAAGACGGCGTCTCACTGTTCGATTACGTGTCTGGCACTGCCGTTGCTCCTGCTGCCGACGCTACAGCTCTCAAACGCTCACAGTGGCAGACTCGCGATGCTGGTGCACGCCTAGCTATTAGGAACCATCTGCCGATCACTGAGCGCGCGCATTTCAGCCAGCACAAGACTGCTAAGGCACTGTACGACGCTGTAGTTGCGCGCTACTCCTCCCCGGCCATTGCAGCCCTAGGTCGACTCATGCTACCATACATGTTCCCCAACCTGTCCTCGTTTACCACTGTTGAGGACCTCATTTCTCACCTTCGCACTAGTGACACTCGCTTTCGTGCCGCCCTTCCAGCCGAGTTCTGCGCCGCAAACCCCCCCCCCCCCCCCCCGATGTACTTCACTCTCTATTTCCTCGTCACCCGCCTCACTGACACTCTTAGCTACGTCAGGGACCACTTCCTAGCCCTAGACCCTACCACTCTCACTGTCGCCGACTTCGAGAAGCACCTCCTAGCAGCAGAGAAGAACATCATCGCTGTAGGTGCTGCTCGTGGTTCTCCTCTCTCTCCCCTCTTTGAGGGATGCTCCCCCTCCCCTCTTACCCCCTCCTATGCCTCCGCAGCTGCTGCTGTCGACCCCCTTGGTGCTGAGAAGGTCGCAGCTTCTTCCGCTCCTAGTGGGAAGCGCAGCGGCTCCAGGGGAGGCAAGGGTGGCAGGGGTGGCGGACGTGGCAGTGGAGGGGGTGGTGGTGGAGGCGGCGGGGGAGGTGGAGGTGGTGGGGGTGGTCGTAGGGTTGGAGGTGGTGGTGGGGGCGGTGGTGGTGGTGGTGGGGGCGGTGGTGGTGCCGGGAGTGGTGGCGGTGGCGGCGGCGGTGGTGGCGGAGGGGGGAGTGGTGGTGGCAGCGGTGGTGGGGGCTTGGGTGACACCAGTGGTGGCCAGGGGCAGCAGCAGCAGCAGCAGCAGCAGCCGCAGCAGCGTCAGCGCCAGACCCCCACTTCCCAGCAGCTTCTTGACTGGTATGCCGGGCGTGGGGCGTCTGGGGGTCCTGGTCGCTGCCCCTATATCATTCGCGCAGGTCCCCGCGCTGGTCGCCATTGCACAGGGTTTCACACTGAGTACCGCTACTTCGCTCGGCTTAGCGATGCCTGGCGCATCAAGTTTCCTGATGCTACTGAGTTCCTTAACTGGGCAGACCTGCTTAGGCGTGATGTACCTATCTTTGATCTTCACTATGAGGCTATTCTTGCTGCCATGCATGCATTGACTGTTAGTGCTGAGGGTGACTGCTACTTGTGTGTGCCGCCTGACCCCAGTATAGCCCCAGGTATAGCGCCTGTGGCACTAGGTGCTTGTGATCCTACTCCCCTTGGTACTGCGTCCGGACAGGCCTTGCACACCTTCACACTTGACTCTGGTGCTTCCCGCTGTTTCTTTCGCGACAGCACCACAGTCACTCCCCTCCCTGCACCTGTTCGTGTCTCACTGGCTGACCCCTCTAAGGGCCCAGTGCTTGCACGGTCTTCCACTGTGCTTCCATGTCCGGCGGTCCCGTCTAGTGAGCTGTCTGGTCTCCACCTCCCCTCGTTCTCTACGAAGTTGGTGGACAACGCCGTCCTTCAGGATCACTGGGTTGACACCTTTACTCCTGGAGGACAGCGTGTGGCGATCTGCACGTGCTCCCGGACCGGCCGTCACCTGGCCACATTCACACGTGCGCCTGGGTCCAGTATGTACACCCTCACCACTACGTCGCGCTCCACCCCTTTGTCTCCCCAGCTGTACGCGCCGGCTGTCGCACGACACTCTCCTGTGGCACCACCGCCTTGGTCACCCCTCCCTGCCTTGCCTTCGTAGCATGCACTCTCGCTTCCTGGTCTTTGGCCTTCCCAGGTCTCTGCCTGCCCTCCCTCCCTTGCCTGCGCCACCCTGCATTCCTTGCGTCGAGGGGCGGCAGCGCGCCGCTCCTCACTCCTCCTCGTTCTCTCCCACAGAGGCTCTACTCCAGACTCTCCACCTGGACGTGTGGGGCCCAGCCCGCGTTCGTGGACAGGGCCACGAGCGGTACTTCCTGCTGGTCGTGGACGACTACATGCGCTACACCACGGTCTTCCCCTTGCAGCGCAAGGGGGAGGTCCCTGATGTTTTGATCCCCTGGATCCGCGCTGTTCATCTCCAGCTCCGCGAGCGGTTCCAGTCGGACTTTCCTGTCCTGCGTCTGCACTCTGACAGAGGTGGTGAGTTTTCCTCAGACCTCTTGGCCGCCTTCTGTGCGGAGCACGGCATCCGCCAGACGTTCACGCTTCCAACCTCTCTGCAGCAGAATGGGGTTGCTGAGCGCCGCATTGGCTTAGTCATGGAGGTCGCTCGTACCTCCATGATCCATGCGGCTGCCCCCCATTTTCTGTGGCCGTTTGCGGTCCGGTACGCCGCGCATCAGCTCAACCTCTGGCCCCGTGTCTCCTTGCCGGAGACCTCGCCCACTCTGCTGTGGATGGGGAAGGTGTCAGATTTATATGACATAGCTGTTGTAGGCTATAGTGGGGTAGCACATATGGGGTACCACTTTCTAGGGTTTGTAGTTGTACCCAACTTTCCCTTAGTCAATTCATTCTCGTTCTGTTTTCTCATGGTATCGATCAGGTTCCCTAGTGGGAACTGTTCCTAGGGCCCACCGATTTTTTCTTTCCTGCCCGGGGCGTGTCCCGCCCCTTCCCGAAGCGCGCTTAGGGTCGCGCCTTCCCTAGCGGCCCCGTCGCGTCGCCCTTTTGCGGCCCCGTCGTACCGCCCTCAGCGGCCCGTCGCCGCCCTCCCCCTGTGGCCCGTCGCCGCCCTTTCACCTGCGACCCCGTCGCCGCCCTTACACCGGCCCCGTCGCTGCCCTTGCAGCGGCCCCGTCGCCGCCCTCCCCTTACGGCCCGTCGCCGCCCTTACAGCGGCCCCGTCGCCGCCCTTACAGCGGCCCCGTCGCCGCCCTCCCCTTACGGCCCGTCGCCGCCCTTTCAGTGGCCCCGCCGCCTTCTTCAGCGGCCACGTCGCCACCCCTGCAGCGGCCTCGACGCCGCCCCTTCAGCGGCCCTCCCACTGCCTCCTCTGCGGCCCCGTCGCCGCTCACTTCAGCGGCCCTGCCGCCCTTCGCGGCCCCGCCTTCCTTAGCGGCACAGCCGCCCAGCAGCCGAGCCGCCGAGCAGCCGAGCCGCCCAGCAGCCGAGCCGCCGAGCCGCCCAGCAGCCGAGCCGCCAAGCCGCCGAGCCGCCCAGCAGCCGAGCCGCCGAGCCACCTAGCAGCCAAGCCGCCGAGCAGTCGAGCCGCCCAGCAGCCGAGCCGCCGAGCCACCAAGCAGCCGAGCCGCCGAGCAGTCGAGCCGCCCAGCAGCCGAGCCGCCGAGCACCCGAGCCGCCCGAGCCGAGCCGCCGAGCCGCCTAGTCACCGAGCCGCCGAGCCGCCCAGTTGCCGAGCCGCCGAGCCGCCCAAGCCGCCTTGTCCGGTAAGAGCAGCGCCTCTGTCACTGCACTGCCCTTACCCTACTGTTCGCGCTGCTAGTCTACTACTGTCATGGCTACCCCTAGTGTCCTCGCTTTTGACGCTGAGGGTCGGGCCATTGACTTAGACATCAGGGTAGATGACCTGCAGCTTTTCCTACTGTGCGATAGGGCGGATGGTCTCTCCCTCTTTGACCTCACCTCTGGTGCCTCTCCTGCCCCTGCTGCTGATGCCGACGCCACTGTTTGCTCACAGTGGGCCACACGCGATGCTGATGCACGTATTGCTGTGCGTCGCCACCTCCCTACCTCTGAGCGTGCGCACTTTAGTCAGTACAAGAGTGCTCAGACCTTGTACGACGCTGTAGTTGCACGCTAATCCTCCCCTGCCACTGCTGCACTGAGCCGCCTCATGCTACCGTACCTCTTCCCTGACCTTGCTGCCTTTCCCACAGTCGCTGACCTCATTTCGCACCTCCGCACTAGTGACACTCGCTACCGCGCTGCGCTTCCTACTGAGTTCTGCGCCAAGAACCCCCCCCCCCATGTACATCACCCTCTACTACATAGTCACCCGGCTCCCTGACTCCCTTCGCGTAGTCACGGACCACTTCCTCTCAGTTTGCCCCACCACTCTCACCGTTGACCTCCTCGAGAAGGCCCTCCTAGCAGCAGAGAAGAGCATAGTAGATGTGGGAGCCTCTCGTGGTGACCCTCGCACCCCCATCTTTGAGGGGTGTTCCCCCTCCCCCCTTTTGCCCTCTGTTGCCTCTGCTGCTGCGGCCGACCTCGTTGGGCTTGAGTCGGCCGGTGCGGCGTCTACCCCTAGCGGGAGACGCCGCCTTGGCAAGGGCAAGGGGGGCAAGGGCGCTGGAGGAGCTAGCGGGGGCGGTGGAGGAGGCGGTGGAGGCGGTGGAGGCAGTGGAGGGGGTGGGGGTGGCGGTGGGGGTGGTGGCGGGGGTGGAGGTGTCGGTGGCGGCAGTGGAGGCGGAGGCGGCGGCGGCGGTGGCGGTGGGAGCGGAGGTGGCGGAGGTGGCGGCGCCGGAGGAGGCGGTGGTGGTGGAGGTGGAGCTGGTCGGGGTGGCGCTGCGCAGAGGGTCGGCTCCGGTGGTGGTCAGCGCCAGCAGCAGCAGCAGCAGCAGCGCACTCATGACATCCCCCCCCCCTCAGCAGCTCCGTGAGTGGTACGCTGCCCGCCAGCGAGGTGGGGGTACTGGTCCGTGCACCTACGTCCTACGCACCGGCGACCGCGCAGGTGAGCAGTGCGGGGGTGCGCACTCCACCCAGCGCTGCTTTGGCCGCCTGACGGACGCTTGGCGTCACCAGTTCCCGGAGGCCACTGAGATCCCACGCTGGGGCGAGCTTTCTAGGGCGGGAGTAGCTGTCTTTGACCTTGACTTTGATGCTATTCTTGCTGCCATGTATGCTGTGACTATTATTGATGAGGGTGACTGTTACCGGTGTTTTCCGCCCGACCCGGGCATTGAGACTGCTGCTCTAGGTACTGGTGAGGCTGCTGCTCTAGGTGCTAGCGAGGCTGCTGCTCTAGGTGCTAGTGTGTCTGCTCCCTCAGGTACTGCGTCGGCTTCGGCCTCCCACACCTTCACCCTTGACTCGGGGGCTTCTCGCTCCTTCTTTCGAGACCGCACCACACTCCACGTCTACGTCCATGTCCATGTCCACGTCTACGTCCACGTCCATTTCTACGTCCACGTCCATGTCCACGTCCACGTCCACGTCCACGTCCATGTCCACGTCCATGTCAACGTCCATGTCCACGTCCACGTCTACGTCCATGTCCATGTCCACTTCTACGTCCATGTCCACGTCCACGTCCACGTCCACGTCCATGTCCACGTCCACGTCCACGTCCACGTCCATGTCCATGTCCACATCCATGTCCACGTCCACGTCCACGTCCACGTCCACGTCCACGTCTACGTCCATGTCCATGTCCACGTCTACGTCCACGTCCATTTCTACGTCCACGTCCACGTCCATTTCTACGTCCACGTCCACGTCCATGTCCACGTCCACGTCCACGTCCACGTCCACGTCCACGTCCACGTCCACGTCCACGTCCATGTGCACGTCCACGTCCACGTCCACGTCCACGTCCACGTCCATGTGCACGTCCATGTCCACGTCCACGTCCACGTCCACGTCCATGTCCACGTTCACGTCCATCTCCACGTCCACGTCCAAGTCCACGTCTATGTCCACGTCCACGTCCACGTCCACGTCCACGTCCACGTCCACGTCCATGTCCACGTCCATGTCCACGTCCATGTCCACGTCCACGTCCACGTCCATGTCCACGTCCACGTCCACGTCCACGTCCACGTCCATGTCCACGTCCACGTCCATGTCCACGTCCACGTCCATGTCCACGTCCACGTCCATGTCCACGTCCATGTCCACGTCCATGTCCACGTCCACGTCCACGTCCACGTCCACGTCCACGTCCATGTCCACGTCCACGTCCACGTCCATGTCCACGTCCACGTCCACGTCCACGTCCACGTCCACCTCCACCGTCCACGTCCACGTCCACGTCCACGTCCATGTCCACGTCCACGTCCATGTCCACGTCGATGTCCACGTCCACGTCCACGTCCACGTCCATGTCCACGTCCACGTCCACGTCCACGTCCACGTCCATGTCCACGTCCACGTCTTCGTCCACGTCCACGTCCACGTCCACGTCCACGTCCATGTCCACGTCCACGTCCACGTCCATGTCCACGTCCACGTCCACGTCCATTTCTACGTCCACGTCCACGTCCACGTCCTCGTCCACGTCCACGTCCACGTCCACGTCCACGTCCACGTCCACGTCCACGTCCACGTCCATGTCCACGTCCACGTCCACGTCCATGTCCACGTCCACGTCCACGTCCATTTCTACGTCCACGTCCACGTCCACGTCCTCGTCCACGTCCACGTCCACGTCCACGTCCACGTCCACGTCCATGTCCACGTCCACGTCCACGTCTACGTCCACGTCCACGTCCACGTCCACGTCCACGTCCACGTCCACGTCCACGTCCATGTCTACGTCCATGTCCACGTCCACGTCCATTTCCACGTCCATGTCCACGTCCACGTCCACGTCCACGTCCACGTCCACGTCCACGTCCACGTCCACGTCCACACGTCCACGTCCACGTCCATGTCCACGTCCACGTCCACGTCCACGTCCACGTCCATGTCCACGTCCACGTCCACGTCCACGTCCACGTCCACGTCCACGTCCATGTCCACGTCCACGTCCACGTCCACGTCCATGTCCACGTCCATGTCCACGTCCTCGTCCACGTCCAGGTCCACGTCCACGTCCACGTCCACGTCCACGTCCACGTCCACGTCCAAGTCCACGTCCACGTCCACGTCCACGTCCACGTCCATGTCCACGTCCACGTCCACGTCCACGTCCACGTCCACGTCCACGTCCATGTCCATGTCCACGTCCATGTCCACGTCCACGTCCACGTCCACGTCCACGTCCACGTCCATGTCCACGTCCACGTCCAAGTCCACGTCCATGTCCACGTCCATGTCTACGTCCACGTCCACGTCCACGTCTACGTCCACGTCTACGTCCACGTCCACGTCCACGTCCACGTCCATGTCTACGTCCACGTCCACGTCCACGTCCATGTCCACGTCCACGTCCACGTCCACGTCCATGTCCACGTCCACGTCCACGTCCACGTCCACGTCCACGTCCATGTCCACGTCCACGTCCACGTCCACGTCCACGTCCATGTCCACGTCCATGTCCACGTCCTCGTCCACGTCTATGTCCACGTCCATGTCCACGTCCACGTCCACGTCCACGTCCATGTCCACGTCAACGTCCACGTCCATGTCCAAGTCCACGTCCATGTCCACGTCCATGTCCACGTCCTCGTCCACGTCTATGTCCACGTCCATGTCCACGTCCACGTCCACGTCCACGTCCATGTCCACGTCAACGTCCACGTCCATGTCCAAGTCCACCTTCCTCCGCCTCTGTTAGACTTCCTGTTCTGCGTCTGCACTCTGAGAGAGGCGAAGAGTTCTCCTCTGGCCTTCTGCGAGCCTACTGTCGTGCACGAGGCATCCGCCAGACCTTCACGCTTCCGGACTCTCCACAGCAAAATGGGATTGCTGAGCGCCGCATTGGCATGGTCATGGATGTCGCTCGTACGTCCATGATGCATGCGGCTGCCCTCCATTTTCTGTGGCCGTTTGCAGTTCGGTACGCGGCGCATCAGATCATTCTTCAGCCCAGGGTCTCCATGCCAGAGACCTCCCCAGCTTTACTGTGGACGGGGAAGGTTGGCGATGCGTCTGCGTTCCGTGTCTGGGGATCTCGGGCGTTTGTCCGCGACTTGTCTGCGGACAAGCTGTCCCCTCGCGCTGCTCCTTACGTTCTCCATGGCTTCCCCCCTGACGCGCCAGGGTGGCAGTTCTACCACCCCACCTCTCGCCGTGTTCTTTCCTCCCAGGACGTCACGTTTGACGAGTCGGTCCCCTACTACCGTCTCTTCCCCTACCGCACTCCGTCCCTCCCCCCGCCACTGCTCTTCCTTGTACCAGGTCCCCCCCAGGTAGACCCCCCCCCCCCTCAGGGTCCTGCCCCTTCATGTGTGTCCCAGGTAGACGCAGTCAAGCCTGTCGAGGTTACTAGTGACTCTGGTGCTGCTGAGGGTGCTGAGCCTGGGGGTGCTGACTCTGGGGGTGCTGAGCGTATGGGTGCTACGCATGGGGGTGCTGAGCCTGAGGGTGCTACTACTGGGGGTGCTGAGCGTGGGGGTGCTGAGCCTGGGGGTGCTGAGCCTGGGGGTGCTACCACTGAGGGTGCTGAGCCTGGGGGTGCTAAGCCTGGGGGTGCTACGCTTGGAGGTGCTGAGCCTGGGGGTGTGGAGCCTGAGGGAGCTGGGCCTGCTCGTGTGGCGTCTGGCGGTGCTGGGCCTGGAGGTTCTCCGGGTGCTTCGTCTCGGCGGGAGCCACCCTCTCCACAGGAGCTGCGCGAGTAGTTTGCCCGGCGCTGGAGGCGTGCTGCTGGAGCTGGAGGTTCTTCGGCTGCTGAGGGTGCTGGTGCCGCGGGTCCCGGAGGTGCTCGTACTGGGAGTACTGGAGCTGCTGGGCCTGCGGGTACGACTGGAGCTGGAGCTGCTAAGGGTGTTGGCGCTGAGGCTACTGCTTTCGGTCCTGGAGGCGGTCTTGCTGGGGGTGCTACTGGTGCTGCTGGAGGTACTTGAACTGGGGGTGCTGCTGGCGCTGGTGCTGCCGCTGGGGGTATTGGTGCTATCCCTGCTGTGTCTGGAGTCGCCGCGCGGCCTCGACCGTACTTCGTTCCGCTCCTTCAGCAGGTTCTTGGTCTCCCGCCTTCTACTGGTCCTCCTCCTCCCTTAGAGTGTCCACAGCCTGTCCTGTTACAGTTACAGTTACTGCCGACCTCCCCACTGCCTGCTCCTTCTCCCTACGCTGGTCCTACTGGAGGTCTTGCTGAGCGTCGTGAGCCTGCGTCTCGCCCTGCGTCGCCTGTCCGTCCTGCTCGCACTAGTGGTCGTGGTTCGCGTCAGCGTCCTCCTCCTGTCCATGGCACGCACCGGATGTCTCTACGTACGTCCACTGCTCCTCTGCATGCCCCTTTGCCTTCTCCTCCTGAGTCCTCTCTTCCTGCTCTTGCCGACCCGGAGTCGGACTCTTTCGTGTTGCCAGTCCTACTGTCACGCGTCTCCTTGCTACTGTCGTCACAGGGTTACACCTTCAGCCTTGGTTCCGGCTCTGTTTCGTGGCGGGCTACCTGCTCGTCTTCTGTTCTCGGCTCCAGTTTTGAGGCTGGGATCTACGCCGGGGCCATGGCTGCACAGGAGCTTCGCTGGCTCACCTACCTGCTGACTGACCTCGGAGAGCCGCCTCGTTCTCCTCCAGTCCTGTACGTAGACAACAAGGCCATGCTGGCCTTGTGTCGAGAGCAGAGACTGGAGCACAGAACGAAGCACATTGCTCTTCGCTACTTCCTTGCTCGTGAGCTACAGCAGCGTGGTCAGCTTCGCCTTGCGTACGTGGCCTCTGAGGCCAACACTGCTGATATCTTCACCAAGGCACTTGCGCCTTGTGATCATCAGCGCTTCTGTACTCAGCTGGGTCTTGTGCCTACCTTGCCTCACTTGCTCACCCCTTGACCTTGTTTGTACTATTGCATATATATATACACCTGCTCTTGCTTGTCTAGCCTTATATATGTAATCCTGCATGTGAACTGGCCTTGTGGCCTTGAACTTGTGCTCGGAATGTGTGGTGACTTTGTGATCCACCCTGAGCTTGCTTTGCTTCGCTTGACCGGTCTTGTGACCCCTTGTTCTCCCCCACTTTGCCTATGGGGGTGTGTCAGGTTTATATGACATAGCTGTTGTAGGCTATAGTGGGGTAGCACATATGGGGTACCACTTTTTAGGGTTTGTACTTGTACCCAACTTTCCCTCAGTCAATTCATCCTCGTTCTCTTTTCTCAGAAGGTTGGCGATGCGTCGCGTTTCCGGGTCTGGGGTGCTCGTGCCTTTGTCCGCGATACCACCTCGGACAAGGTCTCCCCTCGCGCCATTCCCTGTGTTTTCCTTGGCTTTATCCTTGACGCGCCTGGCTGGCAGTTTTACGACCCCGCCTCGCGCCGTGTCTTTCCGTCTCAGGACGTTACCTTTGACGAGTCAGTTCCCTTTTACCGTCTCTTTCCCTACCGCACTGCCCCTCGCCCCCCCCCGCCACTCTTTCTTGCCCCAGGTCCTCCCGAGGTAGACCCCATCCGTGCGCCAGGTCCTGCTCCTTCAGGTGTCTCTCAGGTAGACCCTCCTGTGCCTGCGCCTGTTGAGGTCACTGGTGACTCAAGTCCTTCTGGGGGTGGTGTTGTCCCTGGGGGTGCGGAGTTTGGGGGTGCGGAGCGTGGGGGTGCAGAGCCTTGGTGTGCGGAGCCTGAGCATGAGGACCCAGGGGGTGCTGAGCCTAAGCATGAGGAGCCTGAGGGTGCGGAGTCTGGAGGTGCTGAGCCTGCATGTGAGGAGCTTGGAGGTCGTGAGTTTGGGGGTGCTGCGTCTGGGGGTGCTGAGCCTGGGCGTGAGGAGCTTGGGGGTACTGAGTCTGGGGGTGCGACGCCTGAGGGCTCTGAGATTGCTGTTCTGCAGTGTCCTTGGAGTAGCCGCCTTCGTTCGCGTTTGCCTCTTACCTCCCAGCAGCTGCACGACTAGTACGGTCGCCGTTAGGGTCGCGCTTCTGGAGCTCGGGGCTCTTCTGCTTGAGGTACTTCTGCTGACGTCACTGGAGCTGGGAGTGGTGCTGGTCCTTTGTCTACTGGAGGTGCTGGAGTCGCTGGTCCCGGAGGTGCTCGTACTGGAGGTACTGGAGCTGCTGAGGCTGGAGGTGCTGTGTCTGAGGGTGCTACTACTGGAGACCCTGGGTCTGGGGGGGCTGCTGTTGGAGGCACTGAGGCTGGAGACCCTGGGACTGGAGGTGCCAGTTCTGGGGGTGCTGCAGCTGGTGGAGCTGGTCCTGGAGGAGCTGGCGCTGAGGGTACCGGAGCTGGTGGAGGTGCTGGAGCTGGCGCTGAGGATTCTAGAGCTGCTAGAGGTGCTAGAGCTGCTGAGGGTTCTGGAGCTGCTGGAGGTGCTGGAGCTGCTGGTGCTGGTGGCACTACACAGTCGCGCCTGTTCTTCGCTCAACCGTCTCCGTCGTCTCAGCCACCACGTGACTCTATGCTTCGCCAGGTTCTTAGTCTCCCTTCGTCTACTGGTCTTCCGTTACAGCCTGGCTCACCGCTGCCTGCTCCTTCTCCTTACACTAAGCAGACAGGGGGGCTTGCTGAGCGTCGTGCGCCTGCGTCGCATCCTGTCTCGCCTGCCCGTTCTGGTAGTTCCGGTCGTGGTGTTCCTCGTCCGAGTCAGCCGGCTGTCCCCGGCACCCGCCTTGTAGTCCGTCGTCCTTCCTCTCCTCCGCAGCGTGTTCCTCTGCCATCTCCCCCTGCTGTCAAATGTTATAACTGCTACAGTTTGTTTAGGCTAGATACTATGGGGTATGATAACTTTAGGGTTTCCTACTTGTACCCTACTGTTGACCTAGTGCAATCACTTCTCATTCTTGACATGGTATTAAGAGCCTAGGTTAGGGACCTAGGACCGATTACCTAAGGGCCCACCGTTCCGCTAGAGGTGCCCTCGTGCGCTCTACTGTCTTAGCGCCCTCGTGCGCCTCTCTCCTAGTGCGCCCTCGCGCGCCCTCCTCTTACGCTGCTCGTTTGCAGCCCGCTAGCAGCCCGAGCGCGGCCCCGCGTTTTTAGCGCGAGTAGCTCGTTAGCCGCCTAGGGCGGCCCGATTTTTTCCTCGCGAGCCCCAGCAGGCCGTCGCCCGTAGGCCCCGCTCGCCCCTAGGACGACGCTCGACCCACCGCCGCCCGCCCGCAGGTTGCAGCCCGCGCGCAGCGGCAATCGCGCGCCGGTTGCTGCAGCTAGCGCTTAGCCGCTGCACGAACGCAGCCGCGGCCTGCGCGCGGCCGCACCCTAGGCGCCACTGCGCACCGTGCATAGGCCCGCCGTCGCGCCGCCCTACCTGCCCGAGCCGCGCCGCCCGAGTCGCGCCGCCCGAGTCGCGCCGCCCTGACCGAGCCGCGCCGCCCCACCTGCAGCAACTGCTGTTCCCGTTCCAGCTGCTACTGCTACTGCTCTCACTACTACTACTGCTACTGCTACTGCTACTACTGCTACTGCTGCTACTCCTACTGCTACTATTGCTACTGTTGCTACTGCTACTGCCACTATGGCTAGTCCTACCGTTCTCACGTTTGACTCTGAGGGCCGTCCGATTAAGTTTGACGCTAAGGAGCTGTACGACGCTGTAGTTGCACGCTACTCCTCCCCTGCTACTGCTACGATAGGCCATCTCTCACTGCCCTATCTCTTCCCCGACCTGTCTGCTTTTGCCACTGTAGCTGACCTCATCACGCACCTCCGTACTAGTGATCTTTGCTACCGTGCCGCGCTTCCCCCCGATCTCCTAGCCAAGAACCCTCCCCGATGTACCTCACACTCTATCACCTAGTCACCAGCCTCCCTGACTCCCTTCGCACTGTCAGGGACCACTTTTGTCAGATTATAATGCATGACTAGTCTGTAGTGGGGTACTCAAAAGTGAGTATAACCCTTTTAGGGCTTACTACTTGTATCCCCCTCCTTTCTAGTTTCACCATTCTCCTTCTACAATTCTCTCGACATTTTCACTTACACCCTACACCCTCGAACTTCACCAAGTCACCTAAGCTACTATGGCTCCTAAGCCAAACTCTCTCTAGTATCTCAACATGCTATCAGAGCTTAAAGCTCCTGGCCTGTGGGCCCACTTGCTTCCGCTGCCCTACTGTGTGTCGCGCGCCCCGTGGCGCGCGACAT